CAATCTATTGTCCATTATACTAGTTATCTTACCTTATGTGATCTACTAAAGGAAGAACAATCTATTGTCCATTATACTAGTTATCTTATGTGATCTACTAAAGGAAAAACAATCTATTGTGTATTATACTAGTTATCTTACCTTATGTGATCTACTAAAGGATGAACAATCTATTGTCCATTATACAAGTTATCTTACCTTATGTGATCTACTAAAGGAAGACGAGGCACATCTTTCATGAAGAGCAGTTTGGCAGGTCTTGCATGACCAGCACCTGGGTATGCATTCCATGATTTGGCATAACAATGGTCCATTGTAATCACATTGGGTTCCTTTTCCTGCCCAGATAGCAGATGGAGAAATGATTCTATTGGATTTAATTTTGTAGGTTCAGCAGGAATATCCTCTGACTCCGAAGTAACTGCTGAATCACTGGCCATGACTGAAGAAATCTGCACAGACACAAAAACAAAGCAGTAAACACGATCACATATATTACAAAGTACAAATCAGAAACAATTTTTCAACAAAAACTATCTGTAAGAATACTACAAAGATTACACTGCACTTAAAGAATAACAGTTATAAAAAAAAATTCAGTTTATAGTAATTCATTGAAGCAGTATAAAAATAAAGTTTCAAAATTACACATGAAGACTGTATGAGATGCCTACATACTTTCATATTGTACATGAAGAACAAATTCTATGTTCTGCAGTTGTGAAAGATGAACATTATTTCATACCAGACATGTTGTCAAGATCACGATATAGATAAATATATTTTTTATGTGATGAACCTTATAACCTAAATAACATTTCTGAATAAAAATAAGAGCTAAAACAATAATAATAATTCTACTTTTTGAATATTTTGGTTACATAAACTTTGATCTTGATACTGGTCTTACCCACCCAGTCTCGACTACATCTGTTTCATATGCTAACAGACGTATTTGAGTGATAGTACAAATACCCTAGAAATAATGCGAGTACTTTCCAAACACAAAAATTAACTTGGAGCAGGGTTAATGACAATATTTTAAATAACAATGGTTTTGCTAAAATACTACAAATTACCCCCTAACTGTTTTGTGCAGAATATTAACCCAGAGTAGAACAGATATGTCTAGTTGGGTAATTCTAAGGGATCATCTATGATACAAAGCATGAGACTGAATATCTGGAATAGTTCATCTTTTTTAACAATCACCCTGATGACCTAATTCATCAAAAGCAACAAAGTAAAGTCAGCACAATATTCTCCTATCTACACTGTTTAGAATATTAATAGGAGTAGTAGGATCGCTCCTTTTTATATTTTATTTTGGACATAGCTGAAGAAGACATCTAAAATATCTTCAACCAAATTCCAACTTACACCCACATAGCTTGGCAATTAATTAATATTATAATTTACCTATGAGCATCAATTACTACAATTAGTGTCACAAAGATAATCAACTAATTGAAGTTAATGTTTCAGGTTATTGCTGTTTTCAATTATTCCAACTACCCAAGTAACAGAAATATTGTTATTTTGGTTTCTCATAATTATTTTAAGTTATTTCAAATTCTGACCAGTTTAACAACACATGATTATAATCAACTAATCAAAATTGCTGTTTCCAATTATTCCAACTACCCAAGTATATTACCATTATTTCTCTTTATTACTTTTTTGTTTAACTCTAGCTATGGCCAGGTCAAAGTGCACATTTCTCAACCTTTTACACAGTTACATTTCAAACTAGCTACTTTATTATCAATGTATACAAATAAACTTGGCATCAAAACATAGTTAATAAACCAAATAATATTATATAAGTTTTAAGTTCTTAATTTTAAAAAGAAATATTTTCACAAATCCTCAATCTTCCCCAGCATGAGAATTGTGACATTTGTTCTCTAGGTCTTCCCCTTTATCTAATATATTTATCACACCACTTTGAAGTACAGAATATAAAGTAACTTATAATAAAGGTGGTACTAAGGAAAGTCTAATTTTTACAGCCTTCAATCTTATTTGTTGGTGGGGTCAGAAGCTACAAAATCAGACCCACTTGTACCACCCACCTGTTTTCATTAATTGCCAATAATTTTCTCTGGCATTTTATACAACATCATTTAAAACCAATAGAGAGGCAAAGTGTGAATAAGATATAATGCTACCTTGTTTTCAATATAGAGTCAATTTCATCTTAATTTAGAAAGTTTGTCTTGTAGTGTTCAGATCGCCCAGCAAATATAATTTAGGACATTCTTGTCTTAGTTAAAAAGCCAATTAAATTATAATAGTTATAGGATAATGTCTGCTTTGTATGTGCTATTATTCTGTGTTCTTAGATGCATTATTTAAGTCCATAAAAATATTTAGTGGACTACTGCAAAAATTATGAAAAACAGTAGGCTTAAATTTTATCAGCAACCAACAGCCAAAAAAATAAGAGGTGAAAAGTAAGTACTATCTTTTTTTTCATGTTTATTCTTTATATATTGTATAAAAAGAACTAAAATGTAAAAATTAGAAACTTACTACGTTAGATTAGGTAAGATAATGAAAAACAAATAAATAAAAATTCTTCAAGAAGTATGCTTGCCAGCAGCTAGTGTGTTACATCATTCAATACACTTATGTGAGTTACCTTTTGCTAAGTGTTTTCCAACTTGTGTGGCAGGATTATTAGTCAGACACTGTTCCGAGGGTTAACAGTATAAGCTGATGTAGAGTGTTATATGCTTCAAGAAAGTAGGTACTACAGGAGAGAAAATATGTTAGAAAGCTGAACTCTTTGATAATTTTGAATAATATTTAATATTAATATTACCATTTGTGGTAATTTGGATAAAATAACTAAAGAATAGCTAGACTTAAGAAGATTGGTAAATATAAATAGTAGGGTTAAAGTTTTAATTTGAGTTTAGTGATGTAAACTGTACTACAATACTATATTAGGCTTAGGACATGCAACAGTTCTTTCAGGCTTAACTGTAATTCAACTTACTGGTAAATTATAAAACAGGTTAAATACATTGTTTTATTAAACAAATACAATATAAAGACTAGTTGGTTGTCTCTTCATGTTTTACAAATAAACTTGATTACTTGACTTTAGATCCATTAGTTTAAATTCAGCTTGAGTTACAGGTAGCTTATTCCCATTTCGTCTATTCTGATGTAATCACATATCAAAATAAATGTTTTATATTTTCTTCTGTAAACTTAGTATGCCACATTATTGTAAGTGAAAAAACCTTTAAAGCTAGGTTTATGTGATATATTTGTAGTGTATATGTGCATGTACCTAAATGCTGATAACACGTGATGAGTTTCTAGAAGGATCGTGAAGGCTCGAGTATTTGCCAGACGTCCTCTATTTTTGTACATATAAGCCCGGCAAATAAAGCAGATGGAAGAAGTGACGGCATAGAGAATAGCAGACAGGGAGATACAGACAGATAATTGAGTCAAGTGAGCGGTAGTGACCACAAGTAAAGTGCGTGAATCGTTGTGAATTATAGCATGTGTTTAAGTTAAAGTGACTGTGGAAATTAAGTGTATTGCAAAGTTGTATTGAGAAAGAATAAACTAGTTTTATTTAAGAAAGGACTTGTATCTCCGAACTTCTTCGGAAAGAATTTTTATGGGAAATTAACAAACAACCAGAGACGTAACACTATGTTAAGTTTGATGTTTTGCTACATATGGAGATCAGGTAAAATGATATTTTGGTTACAAATTTTAGAAAAAGAAAATTTTGAAGGGATGCAGCAAGAATTATCTGTTATAATTTTGGAGACAGTGATCAAATGTGTAAAATGTTTAAATATTCAAGATAAACATATTCCTTATAGAAAGAAAAGGGTGACTGGAAGTAAAAAAAAAAACAGGTTGGCTCATAAAGAGTATGAGAGATAAAATTAAAGAAAAGCATAAGAAATTTAAATTGACTGGTATGACAGGAGATTTAGAAGATTATAGAAGATCAAGAAAGTTGGTGAAACATGAAATTAGGACATCAAAAAGGATGTATGAAGGAAAGTTGGCTGAAAATTTAAAAATTAACAGTAAGGACTTCTTTAAGTACACTAAGGGCAAACATAATGTAAGGATGGCGGTAGGACCCTTGAGGGATGATAGAAGGAAGGCTCATATCTCATGATTACAAAATGGCTGGGATATTAAATTCTGCTTTTTCATCATTTTTTACTAATGAAAAGTGGGAAATTTTAACCCGATCACTACCGGCTACTAACTTTATGCGTAGCCAATGCAAATCTTGCTATATTATGTTTTGATATATTTAGTTTCTTTGAATTATCATCTTTAATATCTTGGAAATGATAATTATAAGAAATTATTACAATATTTATATTTGTTCATGATTTTAACTTATTACTTTTTATGTTTTAGTACATTATTTTATAATCTCTAAAAACCTTTTATCTATAAAATGCAAATTTTGACTATTTTTGATTTTTACATAATCACATACTCTCCTTATGGCTTCAAGTAATATACGAGAACAAAAATAATATTACAAGTAAACCTAAACAATAAATGAGTATTTTTAATTTTTAAATAGGATTTCATGTTTATATTTTAATTTTGTTTCATAAATGTACTTTTATTTCAACTTTATGTTTCATTGCAGCCATACTTTTGTTTATTGTGCCAAAAACCATGAGGTTAGCAGCATGAGTTTCGTACATTTGCTGTAAACTATCACGCATGTTGGGGGTCACCCTCGTTCAGTCCAGTGCAGGCGCATTTGAACATTACTGTAGATATGATAGTAAGAAAGCTTTTCGGTACTTGAATATCATTTCTTTGAATTTTCAAACAAGTTTATTTCAACATATGTCTGTGTATGTTGTTTCACTATACAGACAAAACTAATTGCCGCAACTAGCCAATGTATGTAACAGTTTACAGTACAGGTGCTTTCAATAACACTGTCTGACCCTAGTTTCTTGATACATCCTGTTAGAAGACATTAAAAAACGATACAGACACCATAAATTACAAAGATAATTACTTTACAGCACTTAAAAGATTAGTCCTGGTCACATTCCTCTCATTATAGGCAAGATTTATATCGGAATTCAAAACTTAAGCTCTTCAGTGTATTGACAAACCAACTGTGAAAATGTCACAGCTTCCCCTCTATTATTGAGACGAACGTGTTTAGTCTGTTTCACAGCCAACATATGGGTTTTATTGTTGTCACTTGTACACTGAGTTTTAAACCATTTGTAAAATATCAAAATAAACTTTTTATGTATCAGTTGGACTGTTTTTCATTATAAAGCAACAATGACAGAAGTGTAGATCTTACTACAAAGTAAAGATAAGAAGAAAGAAAAATATAAAATTCATACATGGTTCTAGCAGTAGTACGTACAAATCACACAAGGTTATCATTCTAAATACTGAATTATATTTTTATTATGAACTAAATATAAAATTAAGCTAAATTATTGAACTTAAAATTGCTAATTTAAATACAAAAGAATATAAAAATTAAACTTTTTCAGTTCAAAGTGCTAAGCCTAATTCATGCAAAGACCTTGCACTTGCCGCTCAATAGCTCTTAACCCTAACAATCATGGATCAACTTCTTTCCTAAAAAATATATCAATTTTGAGTTAATTTTTCAATATAATGATTAATATAAATAGATATACGATGCAGCATGACTTAAACTACTATATCAAACTACAATTACCAAATCTAATAAAGAAAAAAGTAGTACTTGTAGGTTCCTAAAATATCAGACTATAATTACCAAATCTAATAAAGAAAAAAGTAGTACTTGTAGGTTCCTAAAATATCAGACTATAATTACCAAATCTAATAAAGAAAAAAGTAGTACTTGTAGGTTCCTAAAATATCAGACTATAATTACCAAATCTAATAAAGAAAAAAGTAGTACTTGTAGGTTCCAAGTGTTACAAAAATATCAAACTATAATTAATATCCTCTCAACCACAAGCTGAGATCAGAGAAATAAGAAGCAGTTTAAGTTTTATGAAAACAATATCCCTTTCAGATTCTGGGAATAAACCATTCCCACCCAAATACAACCTACATCAAGAAGCAACCAAGTACAAAGATCATAACTAGAAGAGATAATTGTTTGCTTTGCTTCTTTATTCACTGTTCTATGTTTTAGGAAAAATAAAGTTAAGAATTTATTTCAAAATAGTAATAATCTAGAATGAGCATAATATTAAACAATCCTACACAGGACTTGAACATAAAATACAAAGGCAACAAGGGACCACTTGGTCCTTCAAGGCTGTCTATCTTCATTCACTCATGATAAAAATTAAAAACTTAAACCCAACCATTACTCTTCAGGAAATTATCAATTTCTCCATTTAAACTCTTGAAAATGTTAGTCTCCACTACTGCTGACAGCAACTCATTTCATAAACCACTTCAATAATTTCATCCCTAAAACCTATTCCCAGGATCCACATTATTGTTAGTACACCTCTGAATTCTTGCTAGGAAGTCACTATTATGTCCTAGATAAGATGAAAACTGCGGTATTCCGAGTTAGGCTTAATTTGTGATTTGCTAGAGAGAATTACTTTTTTTTATGTTGAATCTATATGTCCATCTGGCCCCACTTGAAATAGGATGGGCTCATTATATTTGAATGTATTTCATGCATATTAACCCAGCCCATATCCCCCAAAGTAATCATAAAGCAGTTTTTTTGACTTTCTAAAACGTAAACGTATCTTCACAAAATTTTGCAGATTATCAGTAAACCTTACAAGGCATTCACATACAAAGTATAAGATGTTTTGATTAAGTTTTAACATTTTTTAATTATTTGCTCATGCATTTTATATTTTCAAATGTTGACTATACAACATGCAAAGTAACTTTGATTCTAATATTAAAGATACTTTTACGCATCAGACAATTGTCAAATTTCACATGTGAAATATCTATAACCTTCTAATAACCTCCAGGTAATTATCAAACTTTTTTAGAAAAAAACTTTATATTTTATCTGTTATTTTCACTGTTGTGTCTCTGTACGGGTTTGGTCGATTCAACTGACCTCGTAACCACCATAAAAAAATTAGGATTTGATATAAATTATGCTTTTTTCATTCTAGAATGACTACATGCTATAACATGAAACCACAAATGTTTAGTCTAAATAGATTAAGTCTCATAACATTATCATATATAAAAATTTATTATTTTTATTTTATTGACCTTTCAGCCATGCCTAGCTAACAATACAGAAGTTACAATGATGCAGCGCATGTGGACTCATGTTACCGTATCCAATAATATAAAACTGACCTTTAATTTTTACAAAGTTACCTATCTTGACTGTGTTTTAGTGGACTAGTATTTTGTAAAATACAGAAACATTTCAATTACTATACATTATATATGTATATAGATTATTACTATTTAGAAATAAGTTCCTAAACTTATTTTTCTTAAAACGTAGAACAATAAATAAAGAAGTAAAGCAAACAATTATCTCTTCTAGTTACAACCTTTGTACTCATTTTCTGCTTTTCGTAGGTTGGTAAGCTCTATAAAATTTTGCACGTGGAGGATGTGAAACAAAGTTATTTTTTTTAGGTTTTATATATACACATTTGAAATAACCAAAAAATCATAAATTACCATATCATTACCATAGAATTCCACTGTAATTTATCAAACCAAGTAACTAAGCTGTGCTTGGGTCTAAAAAAATATGAAATTTCAAGCAGACTAAAGACTCAACTTATCAGCTTGAAATTTTGTATCGAAAGAACGAGATGATGTCGTAATACTTAAAAATGATTGAGAAAACCACTAGGGGGACATTCTTAGCTTTCAATTGGTTCAAAGACAGAAGTAAGTGTACATAAGCAAGTATTTTCAAAAATGGAAAAGGTGGGTGGGGTTACCTTGGTTGATTCAATAAATATATTAATATCTCAGAAAATAGAAAAGATAAGAGGTTCTTATATTATAGCTTGTCAATATCAATAATTTAAATTTCTAATTCATAAAATACTACATACATTGTATTTGGACATCATAAACATCTAATTTGAACCAAAGCTGCATTTAACATACCATGTAACACACATAAATTGATGTTTATGTGTGTTTTTAATATTTACTTTTAAATTATAAAATTAACTAATGTATAATACTAAAATTGTAATTATAATTTACAATTTGATAACAAACTTACTGACATAAATTTATAAAATAGTAGTTCAATAACATTTTGAATGTGAGTCTACAAACATGACGACGATAGGAAGACCTGTCTCAGTAGGGGTAAAGATTTTTTTTCACTACAGAAATACTAACTGCTCTATAACTTCCACAGGAACTTTTATCACCCTCTTTAACCCTTTTGAGATGGGTCACAAGTGAAAGGCCATGTCATCTCGTTTGTTGACTCGCATTCAAAATTTTATTGAACTGCTATTTCATGAATTTATGTCAGTAAGTTTGGTATCAAACTATAGATTATAATTCAAATTTTAGAACTGCACATTACTCAATTTTGTTAATTTAAAAGTAAATATTAAAAAACATTGATAAACATCGATTTTTGTTTGTCACATGGTATGTTGAATGCAGCACTGGTTCAAATTTGATGTCTGTGAAGTCAAAATACTAAGTCTGTAGTTTCATACAAATTAGAAACTCAAATTACAGATATTGACAAGCTAGAATATAAAATAAGTAGGTCTTATCTCTTCTATTTGGTAACATATTGCTCACTTAATAAATCAAACATAATGGCACCCCGCTCACCTCCTTCCATTTTTGGAAACACTCCCTTATATACACTTACTTTTATATATGACATGAATAACCAATT